GAAGATGAAGATGAAGATCAAGTTAGCTATGCTGTAGAAACGTCGTGGTAGATCGGATAGCAGGATGTATTGTTGAGATCTCATGGTAAATCTATTCCAACCGATCCTTTGATCCCCTGCACCAAACTCTTTCAGAATGTGGGGTTCAGATTTCATTCCACAAAGATCCAACAGATGTGCATCACTGTGAGGATTGAAGCAACAGAAAATCTGTGATTTTGCATATTGACCGAATTGCATAACGACGAGCTGGAAAGGCGGAACCTGCTCGAATCGATTCTCTCGTATTTACCCATAGGATATTCATTTGCATTAACTTCCTATACGTCAGTCCGTTTACTCTTCATCACTTTTTGTTTCTTGTCTCACAGATGTGTTTTTTATTCTTGTGCATTAAATGTATACTGTTATGTCAATGGGTCAATGATTGTGGAAACGTGAGTCGGTGCTAGTACTGCGTATCATTTAGCGTAATTTAAGCGCAGTAGTCCCTTTCTGTTTGACTGATTCACTTGATTGTCGAAGTTCTTCATCTTAAAATAAATGTCAATGAAAAATATTGGTCGGCTTAACGATAAAGTTTACTCTGTTCTGTCTTCTCAAAGCAAAAGCGTCGACGATCGCTGCGTTGACCCATCAGCAAGTCTTTCAACGGTCGGGGAGGGGCTCAGATGGCGGCGGTTGGCAGAACTTTTCTGAACGGCAAATAGCGTGTCGATAGTTCTTCTGACGTGAACGCAACGCTAGAACAAGTTCTACCGGCTAAAGTTGTACCGCTTAGCCGGATCCAGCTTTTGACACCGGCACCGGCACCGGCACCAATCACCCAATTCATCACGGCTGCTCGACCAGCTTATGCTTGCCCTATCGAAGATCTGCCAATCCAAATCCAACGAAGACGCACCACGGCTTGTGTACATGTGTCATTACGTAGTAAATCCATCCCACATCGTCGTACGTTCGTCCATCATTATTTGCTGCGATTCATGCAGCTGTACGGTTTTTGTTGTTTCTTTCGTGTCCTCTCACGTGACGTGCTTTTTCCCCCTTTCAGGACGATTCTGCCGCCGCCGCCGCTGCCGCCGCCGCCGCCGCCGCCAGAGCAACAGCAGTCGACGACGGAGTCGAGGCCTGCAGGCCGTTGAATCTCAGCCAGTTAGTGACGAATTCGTTGCCGAAGTTCGCTGCCGAAGGTTCGACCCAAAACACCGAAGTAAGTCTGTTTTGCTGGTTTCGAGGGAAGCGACCTCTGTTTTTCGACACAAGCCTCACTTCGCCAAATTGTTACGTACGGCAAAAAATTAATAAAATTAATTTATGCCTACCATGTGCCATAACGACAGTATCGTCGGTTAATGCAAGCGTTGTACTTCGCAGTATCTGGTTGAAAGAAATGATCGATTTTGTGTTATTAATAAACGAACGACGGAGAATCTGTAGAACTATTTAGGGAAAGTTCATAAATAGTGTAGCCTCGTTTCCTTGCATTATTTTTTAATTACGCTTCGACGCTCGTTCTTACCGTCAATTTCAGCAACGACGCCGTAACTACAAAATGGATGCCAGACTTCTTTCGTTCAAAGGCTGCAAAAGCACCTGTGCGATGGACGCTGGAATTTTGTTGTAATTTCTTTTTAATTGAGTTGGGTGTGTGGTTGGTTTGGCACTTGCTCATCAACTTTATGAGAGCACGGCAAATGGAAAACTGTCCAGTTTCTTCTTAGACGTTAATGGATCGTGTGATGGTTTGAATGTTGGAGTATCAGCGTTGGACGATGGCAGGTGCTGCGTGTGCCGAAAATTGGAAGAAGGCTATTGACTTTATGGATGGAAAGAGGGACGAAACGCGAAAGCAGTTTGAGACCAAGAAACCTCTTCCTCAGTTCTCATGACTGTCAACATCAATACAAGTGATCGCGACATTGTTTAGCCGATTCATCTCGATAAAACATAGGCAGGCACTTATGACAATTGATTAAGAAAAAAAAGATTAAACCCTGGGAAAAAAATTTAACATGTGAGCTTTCGGAATCAACTATGGTGTTCCTTCCTCTCCGTATGAACAAACAGACAAAGCATATTACTTATTTGTACGAAGGATGGAACACCGCTGTGGGTTCCGAGCACTTAATAAAAATTTTTACCAGATTTCTAACCATTTTTGATTTAATCTATCATTTAGCCAAATTTTCTAAGTTTCCTCTTCATTTTTTAGTATCGTCCATCAAGAATTTTTTGTACTCATCGCTTTTTGCGTTGTCGTATTTTATTTTAGTTGTCGTCTTCTGTTCAGAAGGTGATCGGCATAGCGCAAATTTTTCGTTCTTCTTTATCTGGGGATTTTCATTGACACTGGCATCTCAAGTCTTCATATGAGCTTTTAGTCTAGCATCCTTCTGCTAGATGGATTTGGTTTAAAGATATGAAACGTTCTAAGAACCTCTTTTATTACTGCCTTAATCAGCCAACCATTCGAGGGCGTTGGTGCCCAACAAAAGCACTGTCCACAGTACGTCGTCGAGCTACGATTCATTACTCTAATCGCTTTCCGTTAAGCTCAACGGATCTTCTGAAGCTAAACTTTTGGAAACGACTTTCTATGAAAAACTGATTTGATGACAGTAAATGGACGAATACTAGCTTTATAGAAATTGTTTGGCATTGGCGAAAAATGAAGAAATTAAATAAATAGTCAGATTATTTAGCGCATATTGTGTGAAAAAAAAATTTAATTGTACTAAAACATAGTTGATTTTAATGTACTTTAAAAGTGACTAAAAGACGGATGTGGGTTAAAAGCAACGACTTTGACGATGAACAGCAATATCGCTTAGTGGAATGTTAACTTTGTTGTTCGTTTATCATCGACTCGTGAGGCAAACAGACGTTAAACAGTAAGGTGGCCTGTTTAATGATGTCTGAACATTAGAGATGCTACTTCAGATCGATGTTAGGCAACGTTCTTTGCTGCGGAAAATATCGTATTGCTTTTCGCAAGCAGGCCTGATTCTACGAGGCGTTTCCACTTTTTATATCGTCCTCCAGTGCGTCTGTGGCCGGCGCAAAGTTTTCAAGCGAGAAGGGTTCTGAAATGAATCCTATTTTCACTTTGGGTCATTTTTTATCAAATAAGGTCCAGACGCCGGTCTCGTTGGCATTTCCTAAGGAAGATAAGAAGTTAAGTGACGTGGAGGAGAATTTCGTTGCATGCTGCATGAACTGTCGACACTACAGCACCTAATATGTTGATAGGCCAAACGACGGATAAAAAAGATTCACTGAAGCGATGAACGACAACATGACGTAGTGGAGAGCTTGCAACGAGATGACTTTCAGCCGGGATTAGAAAACCGTGACGAAAACTGGATATGAATGCTGTGTAACGGAAAGAATGTCTTCAAGAGACTTCACATTTCTACCATATCACTCCTGTTAAAGTACAGGTTGTGTCCTCATTCTACTTGACTTTCGTCTTATCCTTTGATATTTATGAACAACATCCGATTTTTCGAAAAACATTTTTCGAACATGTAAGGTATGAACTTGGGCGTAAACGAACGTAGTATTTGCACAATGATTCAAAAGTTGTTCGAGGGAGTACATATATCATACCGTTCAGTGGTGTCGTGTCTTTATTTATAATCTTTTATTAGTTGTTGTCATTTTGGTCTGTTGTAAGGCATTTTACATTTCCTACTACGCCTTCTGGCTAGCAGTGTCTGTTATTCCATTGTTACCCTTGACTATAAACTACGATAACTGGTCTGAAAAAAAACCGTCAGTTGATCCAAATGACCGATGCCTGGCTTGGTTCGATAAAATCGCTAGGAAAGAGAATGGACATCTTTTCAAAGCCTTTCTCGCTTAGTGAGATTGCATTGATCACAGAAGCGTTGGAGGTCACTGTGGAACGTTGTAACACGTCGCTTAGGTGTACCTGCTGGCGAAGAGGAATAAGACGTATCAAGCTGAAGTATCATATCTAAAGATTAGACATAATTAGTCTGGGTTACTCTGCTGTTTGAGCTCTGTTGGCCTCAGAACGACGATGATAACACAGCAGCAAACTGCGTACAACCTCCGGCTCTTGGCAAATTCTTTTATGCCATTGAGTGAAACATACATCGGCCACCTTTCTTGTTCACGAGGATACAGTTGAGGCTGTGATTCTCTGATTCGTTTATTACAAAAATTCCAGTACAAAATTTATTACTCAATGAATGCTGCCAAACGTTTTTGGATTACTGGCGGAGCACTGGAATCGTGCCGGCTAGTGATCAAAATTAATGCGTGTGCTGTATGGACATATGCTCTTTCCTTTGTACTGCCCATTTATGATGTCATTAATGAAAAGAGTTTCTTTTAACCGCTAGTTCCATTGAACAACGAATTTACTGCACGTTGCTTCGATGCAACCAGCTGAGAAACGGTTGGCAAGTCTTTCGCTTGCGAGTACGGCAGTGCTATCTGAGGCGAGCGCTTCTCAGGGCTGTAGTTTTCCTCGACCGACCTGACGGCTGACTATCCGGTGTGATGTTCTGTACGACGATTACATTCTGCAGTTGTTGCCACTGTTGCGTATCGGGCTTTGGACTTTGTTTACACTACTACATCGGTTCTAGGCAGAACAGGTTCTCTGTTGTCAGACTGGACAGTACGCTGAAGATACAAAAAGTTTTATCACCGTCTCTCTTATCGAACGAGAATTTCTGTCTTCCTGACAGTTGCAAAGGCCATCGTGTCAGATAAAATGGTTGTGCGAACCGTGTTTTGCATTAGAGTAAATTTTCACTTTACTCTATTTCCAGAAAATTGGTTGATATGACAAGCAAAGACTCGTAGACGGCGCAATCTGGCTAAATCTTGGAGAAGCCTTCCTCTAGAAATAGGTCGAACGTCCAAATGAATTCTGAAACTCATTTTGCTTTTGTTTATTCTGTTTCAGTAAACACGCATTTCATTGGTTCTAAACACAACGAAACAGAAGGACAGTAGTCCTCACTAGAACTGGCCACATTTCAGCCAAATTGTCTTGGTCATCTCCACGAAAAGCAATCTTGTTTGTTCGCTTGCTCTGAGGATGGTTAATGTAATTGGGCTGCGAGGCCGTCAGTTCTAGTAAAGGCTACCATACGTCCGTTCCGTTATGTTTCAACATTGCGCAGTAAGGGTGAAATGGTGAGACTACATAGCGAACGGCCATATGCTATTCCAGACAGAGGTGGCCGCTGTAGATGTGGAGATGAAGAAAATGGCGTTGGCTCTGCTAAACAGATTGGTGGAGTGTAAGTGATTTACTCCAGTCAGCTAACTTCTGGTGTGGAGGTAGACGTCGGCCGGCCGGCCTGCATACAACCCGGAGGAATCATGTAGAAGCAAACGTGCTTTCGAAGAGGAATATTTTCTTCTACGGTGCATTATCCGGTGCCTTATACCAAAACTGTCGAACAGATGCAAATACAACTAATATTACGATTCAAAAACATTCCGATTATGTATACGGCTAAGGGTGATGGTCACAGAAATGCAAGCACACTACAGCACTGTGCTGTCGTTATCATCTGCAGGTCAACGAGTTCGACCCGTTTATCGACTTGCTGCACCGAAGAACATTGAGGTGAATTCATCAGTCACGGGAGTTAGCGATCTCAATAAGAAAATTTCCA